AACATGGCTCAGACTAGAGGTTAATGTCTCCTAGCACTGATGCCACGTTTTGGTTTGGCCGCCCCTAATTCTCTTCCAACCATCTCTAACACTCGTTAGCATTGCACGACGTGGTAATCGGTGTTCAGGCATACGTAACACGTGGCCCAACCATCTCAGTCGATGAAGATTCATAACCTCATCAACTGATTTACCATCATTCCCTAATACCCTGCGTCTAACCTCACTATTACTTACCCGGTGATCCCAGCAGATGCCAGCAATATTTCTAAGGCATCTGTGGTCAAATACTTGTAGCTTACGGGTGTCTTCTACTCTTAAAGGCCATGTTTCGCTGCCGTAAAGTAAGACAGAACGGACTGCCGCGCAATATACTCGTCCTTTTATTGATAGACGGATACCTCGCCTCCGCCAAAGGTGACATAAGTTGGCAAAAGCCAAGCGAGCTCTTCGAATCCGTGCTGAGATTTCATCAGACGCCAACCCATTAGGGCTGATCAGACTTCCAAGATAAGTGAAGTTGTCAACGCGTTTGACTACTTCACTCCCTATCCTTAGTTCAGGTGTTGACGCAGACCAGTCCTGAAGCAACAACTTGCATTTAAAGGGGGAGAGAAGCGCATCCCAAACATTCTGGCATTGTTGCTTAGTGCTACCAGAAGACTGCATTTTGTCAGCGTCTTCACCAAACAGGACTATATCATCTGCGTATTCTAAGTCGACAAGTGGACCTCCTGGAAGGAGATCAATACCCGAGAATTCAGTCGACGAGAGTGTTATTTCCATCAATAGGTCTATGATGAAGTTAAACAAAAATGGAGAAAGTTGAGAGCCTTGACGGACACCACTTGAGCTTGCAAAAGCAGATGAGAGTTCGCCATAAGCTCTGACTCGACTGGTAGTGTTCGAGTAAAGAGCCTTTACAAGGTTTATGTACTTCTGAGGTACGCCTTTCAATGACAGGGTATCACAGAAACTCTCAGTCTACAGAGTCAAATGCTGTTTTTAATTCAAGAAAAACCATCGTTGTCGGACGTCGACAAGCATGCTTGTGTTCTAAGACCTGACGAATGGTGAATATGTGGTCGATGCAGCCACGACCAGGTCTGAAACCAGCTTGATTTTTTCGTGTTTGCAGTACACGAGTCTTAGTTAGGCGTCTGATAATTATCGAGGCCAGTATTTTAGATACTATGTTTGTTAAACTAATCCCTCTGTGGTTGTCACAAGATGATTTTGACCCTTTCTTATATGTCGGGACGATGAGTGATTGCGACCAGTCAGATGGGATAAAGTCTAATTCCCAGATCTTAGCTAAAATATTAGTCAACCTAATCGCTAAAATTGGACCACCATCCTTAAAGACTTCTGGAGCCAATTCATCTGGACCAGCTGCCCTTCCTCGTTTCAGATTAACTATAGCCTTTTGAACTTCAGCAAGAGTTGGGGGACCTACTTCAATGTTCCATTCACATTGTCTGGGAATGGAGGGTAGTTGTAGAGTAGCTGAAGGCCAGCTGAACTGTTCTGTAAAATGTTCCGCCCATCGTTCTAAACGTCTGGACTGGGAGCAGATGAGAGTGTCGTCTTTTTCCGAAATAATCTCACTTACACTTGACTTATTAATTCCAGTTTCTTTTATTAGTCTGTAAAGCTGTCTTGTGTTCCCTATAGTCGCCGCCTTTTCCATCTCTTTTGCTTTCGTTACCCACCACTGCTCACGGTCGTTCCTTAGACTTTTTCTTAACCTAGATCTGATTTGTTTTCGCTCTTCATCATGTTCGGAACCTGATGGGACGAGTTTGCGAGAATCCATCAGTGTGACAGACCTTGAAGAAATCCACTGGTTCTTTGTAACTCTGTGGTTTAAGTCACTAATAGATGTCACTGCTGTTTCCACAGCTGATTGTATGCTCTTCCAAGCAACATCTGGGTCAGCCTCGTCTTCACAACTACCTAAGTGTGACCTCAGTTGTTCCTGGAACCTACTTTTGGTTTTCTCGTTACTCAACTCAGTTCTTATTGGTCTTTTTAATGTGGCTTTTTTGCGTCCAGTGAGGCGCAAGCAGATGCGTGCCCGTATTAGGGCATGGTCGGAGTCCAAGCAGGTACTCCAGAATGAGCGACAATCTTCTACCGACCCTCTCCAACGATGACTGATGGCAATATGGTCTATTTGAGTCCATCGTTGGTTTGGTGTAGGGGATCGCCATGTTAGACGATGTCTCTCCTTATGCTTAAAATTTGTGTTTGCTAAAAATAAACGATTGTCTGAGCATATTTGCAGCAGACGATCACCATTATCTGTTCGTTGTGCCGGTATACTAAAATACTCACCTAAATGCCTTTCTGTTTGGTTTAAACTACCTATCTGGGCATTAAAGTCACCTGCTACGAGTACTATGTCTGAACGTTTAGCTTTCTGAAGAAGCTCAGATAGCTTTCTGTAAAATTCATCTTTCATTTCATCTGGGCTGCAGTCGGTGGGAGCGTAGGCAGAAACGACAAAAAGGCAACGACGTGTGTCCCTATCCTTCCGAGTTCTTACGGAGCCGTTTAGCCGAACAGCACACAGACGACTGTTGACGGGGATCCACTCTAACAGTGCTTGTTCCGCCCTCATGCTTAGTGCTATCCCTACTCCTGTCAGTCCACGAGAGCTGGCCATCGGGTCACCAGATACACGGAGGGTGTATCTCGTTGGCTCTCTGTGTTGTCGAGGTGAGGTCAAGTGAATGACCACACTGGGATCCTGTATGCGTGTTTCGGAGACACAGCATACATCAATGGTACGAGATTCTAGGATTCTAGCCAAGTAAGCCTGCTGACCGATTTGACATAGGGTGCGTACATTGAAGGCTCCAATGTGTAGTTTGGAGCGAGGTTTCAGTAGACCTGGGACAGTGTTTTGAGCACTAGAATCGTTGGCTATGGTGACACTTGAAGAGGAAGCCGAAGGAGGAAGTTTAGGGTTGAAAGTCGATGTAGGAGGAATAATAGGAACTGAAGAGAGAGGTTGATTAGAAATACAGTGGTCTTGAGTGCTGTTAGAGCTATGAGGGCGGTTATCACTTTCTGGTTGCCCACACCGTGGAAGGGTTTTTCTGGAGGTACCTGAAAAGGAAATTGGATTAGAAGTGGTCTTAGTGACCTGGGAGCGTGACCGCAGTGCCCAAGGTACAACTGCTTGAGGTCGGTCTCACACGACCTTTTTATGGGCAATTTTTGTGTTAGCTCCGTACTTGTTGAGACCTTACTGCCGGAGACGGATATCCGTGAGATAAGGCGAGGTGTGCATTTTTAGGGTCGACCTTTTCTAACCCCACCCCTCCTTGTGGGAAGGCAGCATCGCTGTCATGCTAGTTGTCTGAAGGAAACACCTTACTGCTGTCACACCTCTGTACAGTCAGCAGTACGACTTCGCCTTCGGACCTTGGGTTTGTTGCTTTTAGACTTACCGCTCTTCAACCGACCTTTCTGACGTGGTAGGACCTTGAGGAACGGTTGTTCCAGTCAGTATAGCTCGGTTGCTTCATCACGATAGGCAAGCCCGACCACCACGTCAAGGTAGTAACAACGGTCGGGAATGTAAATATTAAGTATGTATATGTTCACTTTTGCCTTTCTAAATTGTAGACCGCTTGAGAGCTGTCTATGACAGGGTAACATATTCATTATTAGTTATTATCAAACAACATTAGTTCTCTGCTGCCTGGAATTACTACATGTTCACTTACTGAAGATATACGAAACTATGTACATATATGGTTGTAAGTATATAACGAATGGTGGAGGTACTTATATGTAAACATCTTGCATCATCCGTGACTAGAAACCAATATTGTACATTTCTGTTGAGACAGTAATTTATAAGTAATTCCCAAAATTCAAATACCTGTAATATAAGACTTGACGTCCTTAATGTGTACCATGCACTGACCAAGTTATTTCACAATTGGACTCAACATCACATCGTCTTATGTGCTCCTCTCATTTACACCAAAATGTGCACATCCATAACTATTCAGGACTTTGAAATTCATGTTTATTCGTAAAATTTTCCTTTTTTAGATCATTCAGAGTACTGACGTATCTAGTAAGCGTATCTAGTCCAAAGAAAATATGTTTTATCAGTAATGTTAACATGTTACTCAGACTACGTCAACTTTTGAGTTTTCACTTAAAATTCTCATACCCCATTGTTATAAGAAAAATAATCACTGACAACCTTCGGTTTGTTTACTTGACTTTCAACTATTAAATCACTGGTCGAAGTACCATTTGATTTACCAAAGTTTAAGCAATTGGATAATATAATTGGTCTTCACACATCAGGTATATCTAACAGATTATTACGTAACTACTGAGATATTTCTTTGAAAAGTATACAAAAGTACAACATACGTCTCTTTCACATCTCAAGCCTAAAATGTAGTGACTTATGATGGGTGATTAAAAAAGTAACAGACAAACTTCATTAACAGTCAACATCTTGGATGCTACCTATTTAATAATTTCTAATCACATATTTAAGTTACAAAATGATCGTACTACCCATCTCAAACATTTGTACTAAGAAATCAATTTCTAATCTAGTCACTGAAGTTTTCGATACCAAATTTAATAACAAAATTGGTTGTTAAATAATTATTTCTACCGAAACGCTACTTATACTAAAGCACAGGGACTAAAGATGTTTTTAGTTTTTCCTGAGAGTACTATAGAGGTAATATAATAATACGTCGGGGTCAGAGTAAAAAAATACTTCTTTTAATAGATGAAGAATTATCCATCTTCAATCACTAAACATCTCTGGTTAGTTGAGCATCATTGTTGGTTCACTATACAGGATTTATAGACTTTTGACTATCTACGACATTCTTTTGCAGAACAATCTCATCAAACTAATAAAAATGAAAGAACTGCACATGAATTATCTGTTTATTATTGTAACATAAAAACATTAATATAACATTAAATAGGATATTTATTGAAACTCTATGATGCTGAATCAATATTCAGTGTTTATATTTCGCCTTTATGATTCTAGGGATTGGCAAATGAAGCGTGCTTTCCAAGCTTCCTTATATTTACATAATCCTAATGCCGTTATAATATTAGGAGATATTTTGGATGAAGGGAAATGGGCTACAAATGATGATTTCAGCCATTTGGTGGGAAGATTTCGCGATATTTTTCATCATGATAAAACGAAAACATTAGTTAAAACCGTTGTTGGCAATCATGATATTGGGTTTCATTATGCGTGCGTCATCTTTCTTAATTAATTGTTATGCAAAGTTTTTTTGTTTGCAAATATTTCTTATCGCATCGTACGTAAGGTTAGTTACAATACTTGTCAGTTGTGTAGCCACTGTTTTAAATCCAATGAACCCTGTATTCAAACTACCAATCCCTTTAATTTTTATTGGTATGAAAATACCCTGAATATGACAGCATCAAACAATACCGACTTCTAGATTTGCTTCTACCTTGCTTATACTAAAGATAAACAAAGGACAAGACGATAATCTTTATTTATTTGTTTACTTGAACACATAAATATTGGTACAAAGGGCCACCGAATATATATGCACTGCACAAGTTGCTTGATTTATGTGTGGGATGTGATACCACCCGGGTGCCCAAACCGAAGCAGGTGACTTTCTTAGGGGGCCACACCCGGAGCCTTCGAGCTGAAGGTCTAATCCACATGGCAATGGAGCAACTTTAGGAGATCCAGTCCCATGGTAGCCGATGACCAACAATCGGTTCATACGCCATTTGTTCCCTCAGGATACTAGAGCCCATGTGCACCATTGGTTTGGAATCCGGTTAAGGCGCCAGACATTCGCTTTTCGTCCTCTCATTTTCGTAAACAACAACCCCTCCACGAGAAGGCAATGAGTAGGACTTCCGTGGCAGAGGCTGTATACGCGTGGCCATTTGAGAGCATTTCGAGAGGGAGAGCGGACTCTCCATTCTCGACCGTATCAGGGCATTTGGGAGCACAAGATGACAATGGTTGCGAGGTAAGGTATATTTGATTGTATTAGATATATAGAGAAAATAAAACTTATAAAATAGCTATTTATAGTAGGAGAAGCATTTCACGTCAAACTATGCCATAATTTGATGATAGCACTTGGTCAAGATCCTTCAGCTGGTACTGTCCATTTAAACTAATAAGTTCAGAATCGTTGCCGAATGCTTACCTCTTCAGACGCCTCAGGCAATTTTAATCGTCTTAAAATACGTGGTAACTCAGTTGAAGAAAATCTGAACACCAATTAAACTTTAAATATTTCCTATGATTTTACTAGCTTATCTCACACAATTTGTATTTCCGTGTGATTTCAAATTTACTGCTGCTGTGTCAACGTAGAATTTGATCAAGATGGTAAAAAAAATTCGTTTTCTTATTTAGCACTAATGAGTTTTTGAATAATCGATTTCACCGGGATGTTGGAGACAATATTTATACACCGCCTATTTATCTGTGGTCCTTCTTTGGCATCCATTTCGTTATTGCAAACAGTATCGCTTTTGAAGGTGACAATTGTGATTTATGCTTTGAAGCCAATTTCATATTAAAATCGATTGCGAGATATCTTGATTGTTTGAAGATATCTACTCCATCTAATACCAAGAGTTGTTATTCCAAGGAACTTGGTATGGGCCTTTCTGACAAATTCCCATACATTGATGTTGACCTTAATGGTAGGTTAACACGAACTTATCACTCATGATTTAAGTAGTTTAGATTATGAAGCGTACACCTCTTTAAAGATATCATTCAATTATAAAGTTCATTTTGAGTCTACCTAAAAGCAGTTTTACATTACTTCTGTTTCTAAACTTACCAATTTAAAATACTCATCAATAGTTTGTTATGACAAGGCTTTCCGATTGTTCATTACTTCTGGTTTTTCTGTGGTTAAGCTTAAATCACTATAAATTTTTAGTTATTGAAAATGTATTCACCATATAAGGTCACCTGTTGATCCTTACAATCCAGTGGCAGCTTTTGTCTTCGATTTACTTATATTTATTATTTGCGCGACTTTCTGACCAGAGCACTCACCTATGCCTGTTACCCCTCGTGAAGAAGCATGGGTCGCCCACCAGCATTCTTCATCAAACTCTGTCCTGGACAATCCTTCCCGGTAGTTTCCAGTTGTTATTCATCCTTTTCATATCTGCTTCTAACTTCCGACGCAGTGTGTTCTTTAGTCTTCCTCTTTTCTGTTTCCCTTTAGGATCCAAGTTAGCACTTGTTTCGTGATTCAGTTTGATGATTTTCACAACGTATGTCCTATCCACTTCCATCATCTCTTCTTAATTTCCTCTTGTTTGTTGTTTTGAGTTCCAGATCTTTTTCAACTGTAGGAATGTCACTCTCGCTTTGCCAAGCCTCACCTTTACATCTGCATCGGATCCTCCTTGTTTACAGATGATGCTGTGCACCTGTTCCAGAGTTCCTTCATCAAGTATGATTGGTTTGGTGTTCTCTGTGTTGATTTTCAATATCTTGCTTTTTCCCTTGTGTATGTTGAGGCCTACTAATGCAGAGGCTTCTGCTACACTGTCTGTCTTCACCTGAATTTGTTCGTGTGTATAGGATAGAAGAGCTATGTCGTCTGCGAAATCCAAATCGTCTGGCTGCATCCAAGCTGTCTATTGTATTCCATGCTTACCCCAGATATAGAGGTCTTCATAATCCAGTCGACCACCAGTCAGTCAGTCAGCTACAACGTAGGACCAGGCACATATGTGCATCGGTCCAGGTTGCCATACCTCATTAGCACAACAAGATGAACACCGGATTCATAGGAGTGGTTAGGTCAAAGGTTGCAATAAGGATATAGTATAGGAAGGAAGAATTAGTTCGTAGAAAGAAAGATATGAAGTGATTTAATCTCTTAGTTTAAGGGAAGACAGGGAGTGTATACACCGACGCCATTGTGATCGATTCTGAGCCATGTCACCAAGAGTCTCCAACCATTGGTTACGATAGTCACGCGGACCCCAACCAAGTAGTCTACATCTACCAACATGGCTCAGACTAGAAGTTAGTGACTTCAAGCACTGATGCCACGTTTTGGTTTGGCCGCCCCTAATTCTCTTCCAACCATCTCTAACACTCGTTAGCATTGCACGACGTGGTAATCGGTGTTCAGGCATACGTAACACGTGGCCCAACCATCTCAGTCGATGAAGATTCATAACCTCATCAACTGATTTACCATCATTCCCTAATACCCTGCGTCTAACCTCACTATTACTTACCCGGTGATCCCAGCAGATGCCAGCAATATTTCTAAGGCATCTGTGGTCAAATACTTGTAGCTTACGGGTGTCTTCTACTCTTAAAGGCCATGTTTCGCTGCCGTAAAGTAAGACAGAATGGACTGCCGCGCAGTATACTCGTCCTTTTATTGATAGACGGATACCTCGCCTCCGCCAAAGGTGACGTAAGTTGGCAAAAGCCAAGCGAGCTCTTCGAATCCGTGCTGAGATTTCGTCAGACACCAACCCATTAGGGCTGATCAGACTTCCAAGATAAGTGAAGTTGTCAACGCGTTTGACTACTTCACTCCCTATCCTTAGTTCAGGTGTTGACGCAGACCAGTCCTGAAGCAACAACTTGCATTTAGAGGGGGAGAGAAGCGCATCCCAAACATTCTGGCATTGTTGCTTAGTGCTACCAGAAGACTGCATTTTGTCAGCGTCTTCACCAAACAGGACTATATCATCTGCGTATTCTAAGTCGACAAGTGGACCTCCTGGAAGGAGATCAATACCCGAGAATTCAGTCGACGAGAGTGTTATTTCCATCAATAGGTCTATGATGAAGTTAAACAAAAATGGAGAAAGTTGAGAGCCTTGACGGACACCACTTGAGCTTGCAAAAGCAGATGAGAGTTCGCCATAAGCTCTGACTCGACTGGTAGTGTTCGAGTAAAGAGCCTTTACAAGGTTTATGTACTTCTGAGGTACGCCTTTCAATGACAGGGTATCACAGAAACTCTCAGTCTACAGAGTCAAATGCTGTTTTTAATTCAAGAAAAACCATCGTTGTCGGACGTCGACAAGCATGCTTGTGTTCTAAGACCTGACGAATGGTGAATATGTGGTCGATGCAGCCACGACCAGGTCTGAAACCAGCTTGATTTTTTCGTGTTTGCAGTACACGAGTCTTAGTTAGGCGTCTGATAATTATCGAGGCCAGTATTTTAGATACTATGTTTGTTAAACTAATCCCTCTGTGGTTGTCACAAGATGATTTTGACCCTTTCTTATATGTCGGGACGATGAGTGATTGCGACCAGTCAGATGGGATAAAGTCTAATTCCCAGATCTTAGCTAAAATATTAGTCAACCTAATCGCTAAAATTGGACCACCATCCTTAAAGACTTCTGGAGCCAATTCATCTGGACCAGCTGCCCTTCCTCGTTTCAGATTAACTATAGCCTTTTGAACTTCAGCAAGAGTTGGGGGACCTACTTCAATGTTCCATTCACATTGTCTGGGAATGGAGGGTAGTTGTAGAGTAGCTGAAGGCCAGCTGAACTGTTCTGTAAAATGTTCCGCCCATCGTTCTAAACGTCTGGACTGGGAGCAGATGAGAGTGTCGTCTTTTTCCGAAATAATCTCACTTACACTTGACTTATTAATTCCAGTTTCTTTTATTAGTCTGTAAAGCTGTCTTGTGTTCCCTATAGTCGCCGCCTTTTCCATCTCTTTTGCTTTCGTTACCCACCACTGCTCACGGTCGTTCCTTAGACTTTTTCTTAACCTAGATCTGATTTGTTTTCGCTCTTCATCATGTTCGGAACCTGATGGGACGAGTTTGCGAGAATCCATCAGTGTGACAGACCTTGAAGAAATCCACTGGTTCTTTGTAACTCTGTGGTTTAAGTCACTAATAGATGTCACTGCTGTTTCCACAGCTGATTGTATGCTCTTCCAAGCAACATCTGGGTCAGCCTCGTCTTCACAACTACCTAAGTGTGACCTCAGTTGTTCCTGGAACCTACTTTTGGTTTTCTCGTTACTCAACTCAGTTCTAATTGGTCTTTTTAATGTGGCTTTTTTGCGTCCAGTGAGGCGCAAGCAGATGCGTGCCCGTATTAGGGCATGGTCGGAGTCCAAGCAGGTACTCCAGAATGAGCGACAAGTCGACCACCAGAAGAAAGAGAAAGCGGAGACTAAGCATACTTTTCTGACTGGTCCTCAATTGGAATGCATCTATCACCTTTCGTCCATGCACAACTTTGCAGTGAAGTTCGTCGTATGAATTCCGGATGATGTTAACGATCCCCTCGGGTACACCATAGTGTCGAAAAGGAGTCCGTAAGGTTCTCCTATCCATGCTGTCAAATGCTTTTTCGTAGTCGTGGAAGCTGATATATAGTGGTGAGTTCCATTCAATTGATTGTTCAACGATGATCCGTAGTGTTGTAGCTTGGTGTCTGCACGACTGATCCTTAAGGAATCCGGGATGTTGGTCTCGAAGCTGGTAGGCGTCGACTGAATCTTTCATTCGACTCAACAACACTCTGTTGAAAGCGCTTCCTGGTGCCGACAGTAGTGTGATGCCTCCAAAGCTGAGTTCTCATACTCGCAGAGATCTCCTTTATTGATTTATTGACGATGTACTTTTCCCGATCTGTTATCATTTGTTCTTCCTCCCATATCTTTCTGAATAGAACGTGGAGTATCTTTAGAGTCATCTTTCTGTCTGACTGCAGTGCTTCATGTGGTATGTCGTCAGGACCTGCAGCTTTCCTACTCTTCGTTTGTCTGATGCCCATGCTGATTTATTCGATTGTTCATGTGATGACATCTATAGGAAGGTCCATGTGTGCTGCCTCGATGACGGCGGGTTCAATGAAGCTGGCCTATTCAAGAGTTCCTTGGAGTAATCTACCCATCTGTCCCTCTGTTCTTGAATCTCAGTGATTGTCTTGCTTTCTTTGTCCTTGACTGGTGTCTTTGGTTTACTATATCCCTATGCTAGTTTCTTCGTTGTGTCATATAGTTGTTTCATATTTCCCTCTCTTGCAGCTTCTTCCACTATCACTACTAGATCTTCCACGTATTTCTGCTTGTCGGCCCTGATGCTCCTCATCACTTGCTTGTTGGCTTCTGTGTATTCAGTTTGTGCTTTAACTTTCTCTGCTCGTGTTCGGCTGTTGTTAATCGCTGTCTTCTTTTTCTTCCTTTCTTGAATCCTGTCCAGGGTTTCGATAAATATCCATTCCTCATGATGATGTTTCTTCCTACCCAAAACCTCCTGACACGTTGAGATTAGTGCTTCTTTGATCCTTTTCCAGTTGTCCTCCATAGTATTGTCTTCTTCTTCTAGTAGATCCTGTAAGTCTTGGAACCTGTTGTTGAGATTTATCTCGAGTCCGTTGAGTTTGTTAGTACCTCGCAGGAAGGCTGTATTGAACCTTTGTTATGCTGTTTCCCCAATTGTTCAGTGTTTCTTTAGCTTTAGTTTCATTTTGGCCACATCCAGGTGGTGATCTGAGGCTATTTCAGCTCCTCTCCTGGTTCTCACGTCTTCCATCATCCTTCTGAATTTTTTAGTGATGCATATGTGATCGGTCTGGTTCCCTGTAGTGTGATCCCGTGAGACCCGTTTATTTTTGTGTATGTGTTTGTTGGGGAATATCGTTCCTCTTATAACCGCTTTGTTGAATACATATAGATTTGCAGATCTCTCACCATTCTCGTTTCTTTCTCCCAGTCAGTCCATGTCGTCCTATGGTATCTTCATACATGGTGTTGTCCATTCCGACTTTGGCATTTAGGTCTTCCATCAGGATGGTCAGGTCCTTTCCTGAGCACTTCGCTATGGTTGATTGCAGCCTCTCGTAAAACTGATCTTTATCGTCGTCGTTGTTATCATTGGTGGGTGCCCAACATTGGATAAGATTCATTATGATTCCCTGTTTTTTTTTGTTTTGAAGGATGCCTTGACGATCCTGGGTCCATGAGATTCCCACTCAATAAGTGCATTTCGTGTTTCTTTGAACAACATCAGAACAACTCCCTGAGTGTGTGGAGCATTTCGTTCTTCGTGACCAGAGTACAGCAGCATCTCTCCAGAGTCTATCCTTTTCTTTCCAGCTTGAGTCCAATGGGTTCCATTGATTCCGAGCATTGCCTAGTTGTATCTCCTCATTTCCGTAGCTATTTGATTGATCTTCCCGGTTTCCCACATTGTCCGAACATTACACGTACCCACATTGATTGTTGCTCTGGTTGTTAGAAGGGAAATCGGCCTCGTGATTTTCGAAGAATCTCGGCTTTGACCATGAGGCACCATTATTCTTGTGAGTGAAGATCCGACAACTCCAATGGCCGGGCTTTAACGGTTTACGTGATTTTTTTATGGTCGGCTTTTTTTAACAAGATCGTTTTCTATGGAACGTGTTCGCTGACTCCATGCCTAATTCCGCTCTATTTCTGGGTTTGGAACCGGCAATTCCCCTAGAATGGCTACAGGTGGAATTGACGAGAGCGGAGTGCTTGTTTTATTTTCCAGGTTTTCAAGAGGACAATAATTTTTGATTTCACTCGTTCACCGGTACTTTAGTATGAACTTGTTCAACTTAAAAGCCATATCAATAATTTTATCCAGATCTCTCAATAAATCACCTCATCAAAATACTATATGCCTTCTTGACAAACATAACTGTAGATCATTCTAATTTTTTTAGTTATTTTCATTTGTAGTTACATATTTAACACTGCAAACTTTGGTTTTGAAAAGGGATAGGCCAAGGAAATAAGTTTTAAACTAATCAGTCGTTATCCATATTCATTATCATAGGTAACATGAACGTATTAAAACGTTGGTCAGGCAAACGCAACACAAAACCTGGCACGTGTCCATCAGTTCGAGTTGCCACACTTCACATAAGAATAGCGAAAGTAAATTACCAAAGTTTTAATCAGAAAAGTAAAACTACTGTTCATAATATTGTTAGTAAAAACTAAAAACAGATAATATGGTTTAGTAAAGAAGGTATACTATCGAAGAGTAAAATATCCAAAATAATATTCAGGCTAAAGAAATGGTAAAATAATATATATATATATAATACTGCGACAGACTTCTATTCGTGTCACCTGAGCTATTCAACAATTGGTTGCGTTTATCTCACAGACAATAACCAATGAGTCTACTCTTGTCGACATGTCTCAGTTCAACAGTCGGTGGTTTTATGGACTCCTACTAAGTCTCAGTTTGACACTTGTTAGTCTTTATTCATATTACTTTTACACTGGCCAATGTAGTAATGTCCACGAATAGACGGTGTATTGTTACATGTAACATATGTCATCACATCAATCAATGAATGATTACATTCTCAATTATAATAGATTTGCCATTTTTACCTATTTTCCTACGTCCAAACTCAGTGTTACGCATTTGGTGGTCCAACTATATACAGCTGATACTTCAAAGGTGTCTATGATCAAATGTTAGTAAGCTACACATATCTTCTAGTCTCATAGGCCATATTTCAAAACTTCCAGGCAGTACAAAATATATTAACCTTAAGTGTACCGACAGCTTAATAAATAGACGAACGTGTTCTTTGCATCACATCTGGTGCATTTCGAAAAGCCAAACGACGTATTGTTATCCTTACTGAGATCTCGCTAGTCATTAGAGCTTGTGACAGTTTTCGAAGTGGAGTGGCCACCTTGATTAACCGTTTCATTCCGTATGGTCATTAATCGATTTCTAGGTGCCAAAGAACTGATAAACCACCACAAAACATTAGGGATTTAGAAACCGTTCTTTGTAATTTTCTTATTGTTAAAGTATTACACAGCTTTACTCTGATTACGGATGATTAATAGGATACACAATTGTCTCTCTTCAAAATTAAATGCTTTTAACTGTGAATTCATTTTCATTATCAATGTATGGTCATACTATTATAATCAATAATGTATATTTTCTTCAAACTGAATAAATATTAGGTAAAACAGAGAAAGCTTTTCTTGATGCATCTTTAACATGTCAAAAAATGATATTAAAGATTCCCATTGTGGAAATTAGAACAACACGTATAAGATATAATATGATTATCGAGATGCTAGGTTAGTTGTACTGTACTCGTTATTAGTATTATCTGTCTAGTTGACTTGTGTAAAATGTGTGTGTACCTTTTAGTGTAACCATTTATTTCTCTTCAAACATGTGATCATCATTTATTTGTGTAAATGTTTAGCTTTTTCAGAAGTGTTATTGTTATACTCGTCCCACTTTACCCAAATTTCCTCTTATTTCAGATCCATCTTCTTTCGTCTATTCACGTCCGGTTATTTTACAACATTTCCCCCTATATCGCACTTCTGATAGTGGATGCTCTACAAAACCAATGGATGCTATGCCTAAACACTTGAGAAAAACTGTAAACAGACCGAAACTTGATTGTCTGTCAAAAGAGGCAACAAAACAAGTACGTCCCGAATTTCACCAGTATTTTGTATATTTTGAATGCAATAATATGAATTTTTAAGTTCATATATATTACCTGTCTTCAAAAACAAGCTTTATTTACCTGTAAAATCGGTTACACATTCATTCAAATTAGATTTTTATGCTTTATTGATCTGTTTCTATTTTGAAATAACCTCCGAAAATATACACTAAACCAGGCAATGCGATACAGTTACCTTAAAATAACTGCTTGACTCTGGTTTGTTATTGACACCATATTTCACAGAAGGTTCTCCCTAAAATTTCAGTCTGTCGCTATGTGGACACTTCTTATGTGTCCCAAGTCAATACAAAACACTTTCAGTATAATTTATGTCCTGAATTTCATCCTAATCTGACTGATAAATCATTTACCAGTCAAAGATTTCTGTACTTGACTTTAAACCACACTCTAAGCACAAGGGCTAACGATCCAAGTCGAGCGGTGTTCATACCTGCAGTCTAATGACTGTAAATTGAAGGCCTTAACCGCTCTGTTTCAAGAGTTAGTTTGAGGATTAGCTCACTAAAAAGTACTACACACCTGACCGAGCCTGATTAGGAATCTTCCAAGGCTTCAAGTTGATGGGCATTGGTGAACCTCTACCTACAACCAGGCCGTTCGTGATCACCTTGGTCTTTGTCCTAGTTTCTCAACCGTTTTCCAACTAATATCATTCCTTGTCATCCAATATGGGACCTGGCACATATGGGCATCAGTTCAAGTTGCCACACCAGATTACCAGAACAAGTTAAAATTATTAAGATAGATCCCTGTGTAGGAGTAGAAACTGTGTTAATAGCAATAATATCGATGACTAAGTATAGAAAAAATGTATAAGGAGATTTCAAGGCTCACGTTCTCGTGAGACACTAAAAGCGAATGCTCCTACACCATTAAGTACGATCCTGAGTTATATTAGGGTTTCGATAATCTCACGGACCCCAACCAATTAGGCTCCACATACCTACATGGCTTAGTCCAGTTGTCAATGTTTACATGAACTGTTGTTGAGTCTTGGATTGACCACCCCCTAATTTCTTCCAGCCTACATCTACATTAAAATTGCCTATTTAGGTTGTTGATAGTTGGGGGTATGTGATGATATATTTATTTGAACACATAAACAGTGGTACGAGAGGGCACCAAATACATATATTCCACACAATAACAACGAAACCAGTAGCGGTTATCATTGATTTGTGTGAGGGCTATGACATCACACCATTTTAGTGTTAAACGAACTTATTTGGTATATTACACGTAAACCACTTCTAAAGGATAATCATTTGTTGTCAAAATAGTCAGTACCAATTTTAAGTCGGAATTTTAATTCATAGAAGTTCGGCTTTCATGTACAAACATCGACTATCAGTTATTGCTAGTTTGATATCTGTCACTGTGGCGGTAATTTATAGTTTTGAACGCAAAATGTTGAATTCTCGTTCCAAAATGTCAACATTATTTATGACTATAATCTGAGCAATATCAAAACTTCATCCCTGCTGTTGGAATTATAATTATATCATTCTTTTTTATATAAAATTAGTTACTGGAATCTCTTCGTCCACGACTAATACTATCTGGTCATACACATTACTCATGTAAAATGTCACATCGATTCGGTAACCAATCGGATTCTGCTGTGGAATGGTCAGTTGCTAGCTTCTCTTGGAGAAATCTCGCAAATCCTGGATTTCTAATGGTATATTAATTGGATTATTATCCGTAATATATGCAATTTACCGGAGTTATTCCTACTTCAACTGACTTTAATTAATTCATGAACAATATTGATTAAGTTACAATGATATGCATAGACACTAATTTAATCTATACCTCGCTTTATTCAAAGCATCAATGACGAAAGAAATTGAACAAAATGAGAATCGATAAAGTGGAAATAATAAGATGAGTGATCGTGAAATAAAATCAGGAAATATTTATACTCAGAATGGGTGAAATTTGGCTAGCAGTGAAATCCAGATCGCGTGTTTCATCGTATTTGATACTCATCAGCTGGATGTACCTGGATCTCAGAGATGATGTACCAAGACTGATCAAATTTCAGTCAAAATATCAACAACGGGATAATTCAAACCACTATAGATTGAATTAAAACCCAAATCTGTTGCGCAAGTGAGTAACTGTTTGAACTCAGAGCCTAAGTTGATGACGTGTTATCGTTCGGAGTGTTACTGAGTTTTAGTACCAAAGAGGACATAGTATGCAGGTACATCCAGCTGACGGGTCTCAAATAGGACGAAATAAACCTCTAAAATTTCACTGCTAGCAACATTCCATCTATTTTATGTAAGCTTGTCACAATGGCTATTTTTAGGCGGTTTTCTCGGGATGCACATATCCCAACTCTGATCAAATTTTAGTCAAAATATGGTAGAGGTAATTCGAACCATTACAAATTAAATGAATAAATATTTAGTAAGAAAAATCAACTAGTTCAATCTTTGTTGAAGGGGTTTTGTGCAGATTGGTCTAATCTCTATGTTGTATCACCAAAAGCTGGGGGACACCTGACAATTGTTTCATCCCATTATGCGCTATACATCAACGTTCATTCAAGGCCTCGTCATTTATCAAACTCGGGACCTTCAAATCTCAGCAAATAATCGCCCATTAAAAAAAACTGGGTAGGCGCCCAGTGGTACAAATTCTACCTCGATTAATATGTGACAGCGTTACAAATTTTAGTCTTTTAGTTGATTCAACTGATAAACGACGCGTAACTGACCTCACTTTATCACACAACCGATACAATTTGCTTTTGTTCTAGGTTCACTAAAATTAAAAGAGTCTCAAATAAATAATCAAGGAGATTAATTCAGATTTCTGTAATTGGTATTTTACAAGAGTGACTGTCGTTACCGTATTTCATATCCTATAGTTTCTCAAAACATTATAGCGAGGCGGCTTAGTGGGTAAACCACAAGTCATCTCAATATATGACTACTTATTCGAGCCCCATCAAATTCATTTTGTATTTGTTTAGGCGGATAGTACAACATACTAACATAAACTTGATTACGGAGTTGCATTGTCAATAGTTTGTTTTATATAAGCCAAATTCGTTTTCTAAATCTTTAGTTAATAGGAAATAAATTTTGTTTGGTCATTTCAAGAATGTCTAATAAACTGATTTTTTCGATTGTTCAGTATTCCCTGACCACTTGAATTTGTTAGACGTTTCTCAAATCGGAACAAGAATTAAAAGCAAATAAAATAAGGTCCATTAGTCCGGACAAGAAAGATATCAGTAAAAACACTAGAGCTTATATAAAATTTATATAAAAGTCTTCTATCATCTCATTTCGTCCACTAGCACTGATTGGTTAAAAAACTGACCATTCAGTATATCGAATTTGAGTCTGATTAGAATGCAGTATAGTCAGTGTGATTGGGCCGTAATATCGAGAAGGTAGTTGTATGATCTCTAGTTCCATTACCGATTTATTCATTCTTAACCCTCGTAGGATCGCTAACCTACTTACCACTTGACGCATGCATCCTTTATGTTTATTCATCCTCGAGCTCCTAAGAAAGTGACCATTCAAAAGGCGAAGATCGAAAGCATATTATTTCCTCATATCACTCGATTCAGTTATGACTCAAAACTCATACGATAATATAACTGAAATTTTTAAACACAGCAACACAATTAAGTTGATACAATGTGTACATAAAGTAGTTATAAGTGATCCGAAACCGGATTAATAGAGAATTGACTAATTAATGATAAATCTGGAATAATAAATAATAATAATAAATACCCTGGTGTGGCCACATAACTCATTAAATCAATACGCGCATGCGTGAGCTACCTATACTTTTACTGCGTATACGTCCTTGCATTATCGGTGTAATTATACTACCTCCTTTTTAGATTAAAAAATAGGTTAGATCGATGTGAATGTGTTGCTTAATAATTGATAAACGATCGATTGATCACTGGATAGAGACCAATATTGTTTGTCAACTCCTCAGTTCTGATCGAATTCTATCAGTCAAGTTGCAATGTGGCTACTAGTCTAAGTGATTTAGCATTTCGTGCACTGTGTCGAGCTGTAAAATAGTGGTTGAAAATAGTTAACGGGAAACCTTGGATAGGTGATACAGAGTTAAATTCTTCAGTGAGTATCAGTCCGTTAAACTTACAGGTACACCTTGCTGATGAGTGCTAAATAGCGTGAAACCTAGGTTTCAGTGATTTCGTCAACTACCTCCACCACCTTACAGCTAATTGAGAGAGTATTTAGTATTTTTTTAGAAATTACACTAATATCATTTATAAAGTTGGATTCTGTGATAATAAACAATGCTGATTATATTCTTTTGCAATATTTACTATTTCCTCATATCTTTCTTGTTTTACAGCTTTCAATAACGTCCACAAATTATTCAGTAAATAAATGTTATCTCCCAACTGAGTTGCGTTTATTACAAATTTATATTTCCGGTATTCTACTCATACTTTTTGTTGTCACGTATCAAAAGTTAATACCATATTTCGTTTAAATCTTTTTTCCTAGGACTATATGGACATAATTCGAAACTAATGCATTTTCTTAACTCCCAATGTCTTTAAAAATGTATTTTCTTTATTCCTTTGTTTATCTTCATGATTGTTACACTGTTTTGACGTATTGTATTGATTTCCGTACCCTTTTCTATTCTATAAGTAACATTACATAAGCTGTTTCGTTTTGAAAAATCAATAATAATAATCTCGATAGTAGATTATTTCTTATCATAATCTGTGTGTATGTGTGTGTGTGTGTTTAAAACAACTGATGAACGCCTATATAGCTCTACGTACTGTCGATTGAGTAAGCAATTAGTATCATTTACTCTCATACTGTACAGTGTGAGCCGATGCCAAGTTTATAAATCTGTGCTTGATTGACGATTCGGTAATAATATTTATGTGCATTTCTAGATCATACATTTGTATATCTGGAAATCTTATTTCCCGATTTAAACTAATCTAAATAACAATCCGTATTTTTATGTGAAATGGGAATTGTTATCCAATGGAAGTGCTTTATGCTTGTAATGTGCATCACATTTAACTAATCATCAAGAAGAAAACTCGATTTAAAAACTTTCAAGATGAATAAGAAGAAATAAACACGATATGTTTGCATCTGATTTATTTTTACGCATTCTTAAATGAGTTTTGTGGCGATGACCGGGTTTTGTAATTCTGCATCTTAGACTGATCTTGATTAAACAACCACTGAAATCTAAAAATCCCTTGGATGAATATTAATAACTAACTGAAGCTAGACGTATTAACCGTTGGATGGTAATTCAATTATCTGAGAGATAAGTGCTCGTCATGAGCTCAGTAGGTCATGGGTTCTACTCCTGGTCCAGTTGTTGATAACCACTTCCGATAAGCCCTATATCAGTATAAAACATGTCTAATGGTTTATAGTCATGGTCTATCCAAAGTCAATCTGATGTGCAAACACGAAATATGGTTGTTCTTACAAAACGTTGAAACAGTGAGATTACAGCACTTGTTAGCGTTCATGCGTCATTAATAATCACTATACAGTAGGTTTTTTCCACTTACAACAATATGATTAGCTCCTACTAATAATAATTTTCAATATATTACTTAGGTATAATAAAGTTGGCATGTCTAGAAAAGCGGATTCCAAAAATGACGATCGAGTGTTTGGACCAGTTTTTCAGCCTGATGATCTTGTTCCATCCACTGGGATAGGCCCTGCATTACCCTCTGATTTATTCAAACAGAAATTAAATAAAGAGTCGGAATCAGTCAATTATAAATCTCCCACTAACTTTGAAGAGATTGATACTATTGGTCCTTTACTACCGGGACAAGAAATAAGAGAAGAGTGGCGGCATCTGAAATCTGGTGTATGTTGCTTTTTTTATGTTTCAGGTATCACTTTCAGTTGAAATTCTTTTTTCTCAAGTTTGCTTGTAAATATTTTACACATCACTTTTCTTTGGCGAATTGCACAGAATATCGTTTATTAGTTGAATATCATCCAAGAAATTCGTTGTAAACATCTTAGTTAACCTATTAATCTCATGAATATTGGGTTTATAAGAGATAAATATGTAACAGTTTAAATTTCGTAATTCTATTTGGAGACTCTCCGCTTTCTCTCAGTATACAACATGATTATGTAAACACTAAATGCCGGCGTTTTGAAACTAGTCATTCTTGTGGGACTAATAAACATCTACTTTGAAGATCCATAAAATTGTCTGCTGTTTGGTTGACATTGTCTTCTGCATGTTGTTTTTGATCGATATCCTGTTATTAGTACAGATAAAATTCGATCGTCTTCTTTTCATCTGTAAAAATTATGAAACCAACAGTTCTAAATAATCTATTAACCTCATAACTTACCTCTTTCAAAAAGTATTTTGTAATGATATTTACGGCAAAAATCCAACTATTTTTACCATTACTAGGGATAACCAAAACTTGGGATCAATGCACGAAGTTTTTGATTGTTGAAGTAACCTCTGATTGTTAGTTCGCAGCCCCTACTCCACGAAATCCCGATCGTTGTTGCTACCTTGGTATGGTGGTCGAGCTTGCTTATCGTGATGAACCAATCGGGCTATACTGGCTGAGACAATCGTTCCTCAAGGTCCTACCATGCCAGACAAATCGTTTGAAGAGCGGTAAGACTAAAAGCAGTAAACCCAATGTACGAGGGCGAAATCGTACTTCTTACTGTATAGAGGTGCGACGGCAGTATGGTGATTCCTTCAGAAAACCAGCATAACAGCGATGCTGTCTTCCTACAAGGAGGGGTGAGGTTAGAAAAGGTCGGCCCTAGAAATGCACACCTCAACTTATCCCACGGATATCCGTTTCCGGTGGTAAGGTATCAACAAGTACGGAGCTAACACGAAAACTACTCGTGAAAATGTCATGTGTCCGGCCTCAAGTAGTTGTCCCTTGGGCATCGTGGATGTGCTCTCAGGTCACTAAAATAACCCCTAAACCAATTTCCTTCTTAGGTACCTCCAGAAGAACCCTTCCACGGTGTGGGCAACCGGGAAGTGATAACTGCCCTCATACCTCTAGCAGCACTCAAGATCATTGTATTCATACTCAGTGTCCCTCCTCACTTTCTATTATTCCTCCTACCTCGACTTTCAACTCGAAACTTCCTTCGCAAGTGTCACTATGGCCAACGACTCTAGTGCGCGAAACGCTGCCCCAGGTCTACTGAAACCTCGCTCCAAACTACACATTGAATCCTTCAACGTACGCACCCTCTTTGGCTGAAACCCTAGAATCTCATACTATTGATGTATGCTATGTCTCCGAAACACACATACAGGGTGCTAGTGTGGTCACTCACTTGACCTCACCTTGCCAAAACGGGGAGCCGACGAGAAACACCCTCCGTATATCTGGCGACCCGATGGCTAGTTCTCGTGGACTGGCGGGTGTAGACGTAGCACTGAGTACGAGGGCAGAACAAGCACCATTAGAATGGATCCCCGTTAACAGTCATCTGAGTGGTGTTCAGCTGAACGGCTCCATAAGAACTCGGAAGGATAGGGATACGTCGTTGTTTAGATGGTAGTTGGAGGTAGTCAACAGGAAACCCTGGACCCGGGTTTCGTGCTACTTGGCACTCGTCAGCAAGGTGTACCTGTACTCTTGAGGGAACTGGTGCTCCCTGGCGGATTCGATCTCGTGTCACATGATCGATAGCATTCGATCTGCACTAATAAGGACTAGACAAGCATGACATTGATCACCACCCAGTGATCAATCAATTGTGGATACGTCGTTGTCTTTTCGTCGTTTCTGCCTACGTTCCCACTGACAGTAGTCCGGATGAAGTGACGGATGAGTTTTACGGAAAGCTTTCTGTACTTCATAAAGCTAAACGTTCAGACGTAGTACTCGTAGCAGGTGACCTTAATGCCCAGGTAGGTAGCTTAAACCAAATGGAAAGGCATTTATGTGGGTATTTTAGTATACCGGCACAACGAACAGATAATGGTGATCGTATGCTGCAACTATGCTCAGACAATCGTTTATTTTTAACAAACACTAATTTTAAGCATAAGGAGAGACATCGTCTAACATAGCGACCGCCTGCACCAAGCCAACAATAAACTCAAATAAACCATATTACCATCAGTCATCGTCGGAGAGGCTCGATAGAAGACTCGCTTGTTCTCAAATACCTGTTTGGACACTGATCATGCTCTAATACGAGCCCGCATTTGCTTGCTCCTCACTGGATGCAGAAAAACCACATTAGGGTTAGACTCAGTGACGAAGTGCCAAAAGTAGATTCCATGAACAACTGAGGTCGCACTTCGATAGTTCTGAAAACGTGGCTGACCCATATATTGCTTGGAAAGATATACGAACAGCTGTTGAAACAGCAGTGACATCTATTAGTGATTTGAACCAAACGGTCACGAAAAGCCAATGGATTTCTACTAAGTCTATTGCACTGATGGATTCTCGTAAACACTCCATCAAGCTCTGGACTCGATAAAGAACGAAAACAAATCAGATATAGGTTAACCAAGAGTCTAAGGAATGACCGTGAGCAGTGGTGGGCAGCGAAAGCAAGAGATGGAAAAGGCAGCCGCTGTAGGTAACGCCAAACATTGATCCAGACTAATAAAAGAAACTGGAATTAATTAATCAAGTTTAAGTGAGGCGATCTCGGAAAAAGACGACACTCTTATCTGCTCTCAGTCCAGACGTTTAGAACGATGGGCGGAACATTTTAAGGAGCAGTTCAGCTGGCCTTCAACTACTCTACAAATACACACCATTCCCAAACAGCCTGAATGGAACATTGAAGTAGGTCCCACGATTCCAATCCGAAGTCGAGAAAGAGCAGATGGATTGGTTCCAGTGGTATTTAATTATAGTGGTCCAGTTTTAGCGATTAGGTTAACTAATATTTGAGTTAAATCTGGGAGTTAGACGTAATCCCATCTGACTGGACGCAATCACTGATTGTCCCAATATATAAGGAGGGGTCAAAATCCACGTGTGATAACCATAGAGGGATTGGTTTGACTAAAATAGCATCTAAAATACCAGGCTCAATAATTATTGGGCACCTAACAAAGACTCGTGTACTGCAAACACGAAAAAATCAAGCTGGTTTCAGACCTGGTCGTGGCTGCATCGACCACATATTCACCATTCGTCAGGTCTTAGAACACAAGCATGCTTGTCGACGTCCGACAACGATGGTTTTTCTTGAATTAAAAACAGCATTTGACTCTGTAGACTGAGAGTTTCTGTGATACCCTGTCATTGAAAGGCGTACCTCAGAAGTACATAAACCTTGTAAAGGCTCTTTACTCGAACACTACCAGTCGAGTCAGAGCTTATGGCGAACTCTCATCTGCTTTTGCAAGCTCAAGTGGTGTCCGTCAAGGCTCTCAACTTTCTCCATTTTTTTTAACTTCATCATAGACATATTGATGGAAATGACATTCTCGTCGACTGAATTCTCGGGTATTGATCT